TCAGTTTTCTGAACAACTTTATTTCCAGACTATCTCACAAATACCTTGTCAGCACATCAACATGATTTATTTTTTAACACAGAAGTTAGTTATAATAAAAAATACACAATAAAGCAATACTATGCCCCCTAAAAATTAATATTTGAGCATTTTTCCTGTGTCATCCACATACTTAGTGACCATCAGGTCTTTTTTCTTTTTAGACTAAACTCAACTCTAAACTTACCAAAATGCATTTAGTGGCTTATTAGAATAAAAAAATTACAGTTTATGTCTTCAGATTTCCACCTTTCAAACAACCACTGAACAAAACTTTGCAAATGTAAGAGAAAACTAAGGTCTTATCCAAATGGAAAAGTATTCTGTCAAGTCTTAGTCTTTTAATGAACATATTTGAGACCCTGAAAAGATATGAGTCTGTCTGATGCTAGTGCAACACTGGACTACTGCTCTGGAGAGCAGTGAAGACTGTAGTGATGTGAGAGGAGGCTCAGAATCAACATATATAATGCATTATGAAGACAAATTTAAATCACTAACATTCATCCATACATGCAGAAATATGTTAAGAGCTAGAATTATTTCTTCAGTCCTGTTCATGGTGTTAAAACTTCTTCCAGTTTCTTCCAGCAAACAGTTCTATCAAAAAGGGGTAAAGTAAGCAAATCAGGTGGAATGGAGACAACACTCTGAGAGGGACTCTGTATGGCTGTGTAAGAAGGTTTGGGCCAGGCAACAAGATAGCTCAGATAACATACCGTGATCCTGTCCTTACCAAATGGTCCTTACCAGCAACGACTCATAAGAAACAAATACCCTAAGCCATTTTCTTTGTGTTAAATAGATCTAATATTCCTAATACACATGGCAGAGGGGTTGGAAATAGATGATCTTTAAGGTCCCTTCCAACTGGACCATTTTGTGATTCTATGTTTCATTAAGTATTCTCAAGGTTTAGGCACTTACCATTCATTGATGTAAATTGGCCATTCTGGCTTTTTTTTAATAACAGTACATGATTCTGGTCTGATTTGAAACTAAACAACTTCTTCCACTCCCGTATCATGGGAAAATACTGGAGATGCTGATGATGTGAGGGAAATACCTATCTTATAGTGAAAGCTGGTACTTTTCTATTTCTCAGTTGGTACTTTAAACAAAGTTGACATGCTTCAACTAGGCAGCATGATCACTCCCAAAATGTTTAATGTTATCAACCCTAAAGGATATTTAAGGAACAGTTAGTGACTGTGTAGAGCCCAGCTGCCTTATTCAACATCCTGGGACCAAAATGCATCAAGCAAGATCAAAGGATCTACTCTGATTAATATTCCACAGTAATCTTTTGTTCATTTCAGCTTGACTGTCAAGCCAGCTCTCTGATCTCAGACATACGCCTGCACTGATTTAAACAGAATAAAATGTCAGCAGGAGATGTCAACCCTTAAACAAACAAACAAACACACAAACACAAAAACCCCAGACAGTTCCTGTACCATTCCCTGTACCGTTTCAGATACCAAGAACTAAACTTGTAAGGAAATTTATAATGAAAAAAGCACAACTTCATCAATAATAATGAAAAAGGGCATTCCCAAATCAATATACAAGATGGTATTGAATCACAGTAGTTCAAAGCATTATCCAGCTTCTGTGATGCTGCACCATGTATATGGCTTATCATAGAATCACAGAATCACACAATGCTTTGGGTTGGAAGAGACCTTCAAGATCCTCTAGTTGCAACCTCCCTCCTCCCACTGGACCAGGTTGCTTAAAGCCCAGTCCTTGACGGGTCATCCACAAGCTCCATGGGCAACCTGTTCCAGTCTCTCAACACCCCCACACTAAATAATTACTTCCTAATGTCTAACCTAAATCTCCTCTCTTCCAGTTTAAAGCCATTCTATCACAACATGCCTTTGTAAAAAGCCCCTCCCCAGCTTTCCTGTAGCCCCTTCAGGTACTGGAAGGCCACTGTAAGGTCTCCCTGGAGCCTTCTCTTCTCCAGGCTGAACAGCCCCAACTCTCTCAGCCTGTCTTCACAGCAGAGCTGCTCCAGCCCTCTCATCATCTTTGTGGCCCTCATCTGGACTCACTCCAACAGCTCCATGTCCTTCCTGTGTTGGGGGCTCCAGAACTGGACACAGCACTCCAGGATCCCCAGGAATTTAATGATTAAGTCTGAGGAAGAGCTGTCATGCTGAAGAGGCTTATTATATAAACATGTTTGTTTGTGTCCTGGAAAACATAACATGGCATATACCTGTGCTGTTCTGTGACTGATTTTCACTCATAATATTGCTGTCCACATTTGACACACTAACTGGTCTTGTATGGTTGCTCCTATGTTCCCATGAGGGCTAGAGACAGCTGTCTATCTAGGCACCAGATGGGACAAGAAATGCTCCTTTAGCTCACTGGCCCCAGTTTTTGTGTCACCTCTGAGCTGCAAGTCTGCCAGCAACAGCCCACATCCATGCAGCAGCCTTGCAGCCAGAGTGACAAATTTGGATACAGGGTCTGAGCACTGTCATGGTTCCTCCAGAAATCAAACTGGCCAATGTTTGCATTGTAGCTACTAAACATAGCAGGCTGTGATTGAATGAATATGGTCTTATAAACAGGTCCACTGCTAAATATTGTTGCAACTGACACAGAAAATACATTGTACTCAGGTCTGCTAAAGTCTATACATCATCTGTATTTTCAGCTTACTCCAGTAAAATACTTAGTCAATCCAAAAATACCCCACCCACACAGAAAGAGAAGACACAAATGCAACTTTGTATAAACATGCTTTGTGAGAATTAGTTTCCATGTTACCTCAAGTTCTTTTATCCAAAGCCAAGCATCTTGCAAATTTTCCTCATTAACTTCAGCAAGTTTCTCTTGCCAAGTCACTGCTTGGGCACTAAATTTCATGAAGTTAAATCTCTTTTTGTGTCTCAGTTGTTCCTGCAAGAGACAGCATCTGATTTTTACTCAGTGTTAAATTAACTGTTTTCATTTCTGTAGAGCTGATTACCTGTTTACAATAAATTATAATTATTTATAATACACAGAGACATACAGAGACAGAGAAAATTATTGCTTGCAATTTTTAAGATTATTTGAACTTCCAATGCAAGTCTACATCTACATATACTTCTCAAACTACTACTGCCTGTCTAGGAGGGCAAGAAAAAGAGAAATGAAGCTGGGAATGAACAATGGTATAAGGCAGAGATCGTGAGGGTTTACCAAATGAAATTGAAATGAGAATCAAGGTAAGGCATCATTTAGAGGAGAATAAGAAACAAAGGCAGAGCACTGAAAAGGGGAACTATGACAGCAAGAGAGAATTAAGTTAGCAATTTGCTAAAGTTGCTTTTGAACAGAAGTGATAAGGAGTGAAAAATTTGTGCAAGCCAGTACAAACTTTCAGAGCTTGGAACACTTGTCTTCCTTTCATCACAATTTTTGTTCAGCTGGCTGTGAAACCTTCTGGTACAGTATCTAATTGTTTCCTAATGCTGATCTGTATAGAGTACAACATCATACTATGTCCTACCACTGATGCACTTAGCTCAAAAACCTGTCTGTTGTAGTTTAAAGTTTCCTAGCCCTACTAATGACTGCTATTGATGCCAGACTGATTTATTTATTTATTTATTCAGTTACTCCTCTCAGGTTTAAAAAAGTTCATGATCACAGAATCACAGAATTTTGGGAGTGGGAAGGGACCTTAAAGATCATCTAGTTCCAACCCCCCTGCATGGGCAGGGACACCTCCCACTACACCAGGTTGCTCAGAGCCCCATCCAACCTGCCCTTGAACACTTCCAGGGATGGAGCCCCCACATCATCTTTGGGCAGCCTCTTCCAGAGTTTCACCACCCTTACAATGAAGAATTTAAACCTGATCTCTAACCCAAATCTCTCTTCTTTCAGCATAAATGATGTTTTGAAGTGCCTGTTTCTCTCAGATATTAATTTGACCTTACATGACCTCACTGTAGATTTATAAAACTAGGTGAGACAAATTCTGTCTTAGGTGTGTCTCCCAGGACTTACCACTTTCGAGGCACTCCTGTACTTTGCAGGTCCCTTTGCAAAGTTCTGAGTCAGTGTAAGATACAAGTAAGTTCAAAACATTCTACACCCCCTATTGCAAAATATGAAAGTGAATCTAAAACACACATAACAAATCATGAAGTGCCAGTGGAACTGGATGACACTGCTTAAAAATAAAAATTCCAAAAGCTTCATTGCATAGTTCTTTGGGGGAGTTGTTTGTTTTTTCCTCTTCTTTGGTAAGAACAGTGGCTTGAGGCAAAGAAAAAATACTTAAGTCTTTTTAATGTTTAACAATTGCTTAAGATTTTTTTTCAAACATTTGTACAAATGAGGAAAGAAATACAAATTTTTCACTGAAAAATGAGCACACTAAGAAAAATATAAAATATTTTTATAAAGCTGCTGTTTAAAAAGAACCCAACACATTAAAAATGAAAATAAAATGTACAGTAACAACCATCCACAAAATATCAGCCAACTCTAAAATGAACCTCAGTTTTCCAAATCATTACTTTATCATACCTGTATGAACTGAAATATTTTCTCCTTCACCAGTGGCAGCTTGTCCTTCATAGACTCAGATGTGTCAATAAGAATATGGACATTATCTTCACACACATTACCAAAGAGCCCTCTGCTTCCTCGTTGAAGCCACTTAATCCTGGGGGAGGAAAAAATTCTAAAATCAAACCCTGAGCTGTAAGATCTCTGGAGCTTTGTGTGTCACAATGTCATAGGAAGGATCTTTTTATCACTGCTGTACTTCTTCCTAATCACCTGTTACTAGTCACTGTCAGAAGCAGTGTATTTACCTTCATCCTCTATAACTACATAACAACACAAGGCATTTTTATTTCCTAATTTCAGTAGGGGGTGAAAAAAAAAAAGACAAAGTGATACAGCAAAGTATCAGGTGGTTTGAGCTGGAAAATCTCATGTGGAAGTAACAAGGAGTGAAAAATTTGTGCAAGCCAGTACAAACTTTCAGAGCTTGGAACACTTGTCTTCCTTTCATCACAATTTTTGTTCAGCTGGCTGTGAAACCTTCTGGTACAGTATCTAATTGTTTCCTAATGCTGATCTGTATAGAGTACAACATCATACTATGTCCTACCACTGATGCACTTAGCTCAAAAACCTGTCTGTTGTAGTTTAAAGTTTCCTAGCCCTACTAATGACTGCTATTGATGCCAGACTGATTTATTTATTTATTTATTCAGTTACTCCTCTCAGGTTTAAAAAAGTTCATGATCACAGAATCACAGAATTTTGGGAGTGGGAAGGGACCTTAAAGATCATCTAGTTCCAACCCCCCTGCATGGGCAGGGACACCTCCCACTACACCAGGTTGCTCAGAGCCCCATCCAACCTGCCCTTGAACACTTCCAGGGATGGAGCCCCCACATCATCTTTGGGCAGCCTCTTCCAGAGTTTCACCACCCTTACAATGAAGAATTTAAACCTGATCTCTAACCCAAATCTCTCTTCTTTCAGCATAAATGATGTTTTGAAGTGCCTGTTTCTCTCAGATATTAATTTGACCTTACATGACCTCACTGTAGATTTATAAAACTAGGTGAGACAAATTCTGTCTTAGGTGTGTCTCCCAGGACTTACCACTTTCGAGGCACTCCTGTACTTTGCAGGTCCCTTTGCAAAGTTCTGAGTCAGTGTAAGATACAAGTAAGTTCAAAACATTCTACACCCCCTATTGCAAAATATGAAAGTGAATCTAAAACACACATAACAAATCATGAAGTGCCAGTGGAACTGGATGACGCTGCTTAAAAATAAAAATTCCAAAAGCTTCATTGCATAGTTCTTTGGGGGAGTTGTTTGGTTTTTCCTCTTCTTTGGTAAGAATAGTGGCTTGAGGCAAAGAAAAAATACTTAAGTCTTTTTAATGTTTAACAATTGCTTAAGATTTTTTTCAAACATTTGTACAAATGAGGAAAAAAATACAAATTTTTCACTGAAAAATGAGCACACTAAGAAAAATATAAAATATTTTTATAAAGCTGCTGTTTAAAAAGAACCCAACACATTAAAAATGAAAATAAAATGTACAGTAACAACCATCCACAAAATATCAGCCAACTCTAAAATGAACCTCAGTTTTCCAAATCATTACTTTATCATACCTGTATGAACTGAAATATTTTCTCCTTCACCAGTGGCAGCTTGTCCTTCATAGACTCAGATGTGTCAATAAGAATATGGACATTATCTTCACACACATTACCAAAGAGCCCTCTGCTTCCTCGTTGAAGCCACTTAATCCTGGGGGAGGAAAAAATTCTAAAATCAAACCCTGAGCTGTAAGATCTCTGGAGCTTTGTGTGTCACAATGTCATAGGAAGGATCTTTTTATCACTGCTGTACTTCTTCCTAATCACCTGTTACTAGTCACTGTCAGAAGCAGTGTATTTACCTTCATCCTCTATAACTACATAACAACACAAGGCATTTTTATTTCCTAATTTCAGTAGGGGGTGAAAAAAAAAAAGACAAAGTGATACAGCAAAGTATCAGGTGGTTTGAGCTGGAAAATCTCATGTGGAAGTAACAAATGGCCCTGTAACTGTTCTCCAGCCTGAACTCAGGAAAACATGTAAGCATATGCAAATATGCCTCCCTTTTCAGGAAACCAGTTGAGAACCTAGCAAGAAACTTGAGCACTTTGAAGAGTCTTAATATTGCACAGCTTTGCTGACCTTGAGTCTTAAATACAGGCTTAGATTTACATTTTAAACAGAATTTAAGCATGCCTGCCAGTTAAACACATGTATACATACTGCTGTGTACAAGAACGTTTCTGCAGTAATGGTTGCAGCAAGTCCAAATCTGATTTCCCTTGAGAGTCATAAACTACTTGTCTACTCTGAAACAGAGACATTTAACAGACAGAATATAATGGCCCTGGGAAAAATATTACTCATATCCACAGAAGTTTAAACAAGTGATATAATGGAAACTGAAAAGAATCCTATTAATTTGCTACTGACAGCTATTTTGTTTTTTCACCCCGAAGTGCTTGATGAGGTCTAACACAAATTTTAACAATTACTTGAGCCATTCAAAACAGCAAACCAATAAACTTGGTTTGGATTTCAAGTATCTATATCTATCTATCTATCTATCTATCTATCTATCTATCTATCTATCCTTTACTTCAAATTTTCCTTTCAGAGTATGTTACTGTTAGCCTATATACAAGATTAAGAGAAACTAAAAAGGATAACAAAACTCTGTTTGACCTTGCTAAAGGCAATCAGGCTGTTATACTTCTGGGAGAGAAGCAGCAATAAAATCAAAGTTCTCATCCTGCTTTATTTCCTTGAGACATCTCATTGTCCTAATATACAAAACAGAGAGCAACACATTCTATCTCTCAGTTCTACAATATCCATTCTGAATGTTTCCTTCTTCTCCTCATGTAGCTATAAAAGCCAATTTGCTTTGAGGCATCTTTAGGACAGATGAATCAAACTCTCAGATTGCCTGTTTTTTGTCCTACAAAATCTAAGAGTGTATCTATGCACTCACAAAAAAGATGCACAAAAGTCAATGAGGGAGTTAGCTTGAGCACTGAACATCTAGCTGGTCACATGCAATATTTAATAGCTCACACCCTGACTCTCTTCTAGACTGTTCAAACTTCTCCTCAACACAAAATTGCAAAAAGGGCAGATAACTATTAGCAGTAGGGGCACAAGACACGCCGTGTTACTTGTGTCAGAGCTATCACAAGAGATCCTAGGTACACAGGATGTAAGTTTACCAAGTAATGATTTCACTAGTTCTATGCCACTTTATGTCCCAAAGCTTTTTGGCACTTTCGGCAGTATTTCACCTATGTGCAGACTGACTTCCACATTTGAATTCCAGAAGGAGAATAAAAGATAAAACCATTCTTTGGTTTTCTTACATGGCTACCAAGGAATTCTACACGCAAGATTCTGATCTGAAAAGGATTTCTGGCTTAGTTCTCCTACTGGCAGTTAACCAGCCACTTCAGCTGATTATGACAGTAGATGTCAAACATTTCAACATGGATGCAAAATAATACAAACTGATTTTACATGATGAAACACTAACCTTTCTTCCACTTTTCTGAGAGCCGTCCTCATTTTCTCTTTGTACTGCTTATACTTTTCTGTACTAACATATATATGAACCACAGATCCATCTTTCCAGAAGGTCTGTACAAACTTGTCACAGTATTTTGCATTAATTACCTTCCTCTCTGTCTCCTACAACAAAGAAAAACATGATTCATGCTCCAAAAGACATTATTTTGAACTATCTTTCACATTTGGCAAATGAACTTCAAAGGAACATGCTTGATGCACATGAACACGTGCAGAAAAAGACATGGGATATGGTGGTCACAGAATCTGCTACTAGGAAAAGTCAGTAGAAACTGCTTTTATTCTTTTATCTAGCAAGAACAGAAGCTTATCAAACAGTGTAATGGTAGAGTTTAGGAAAAACAAATAGAAGACAAATGAATTCAAATTTGTTTAATGGCCTGCAAACACTGGAGCAGCTGAAACCAACACCTCTTCTAAGAAAAAATAAAGATGACAAGCAATCTTCACCCTGTCCCACATAAATACACAGAAAAACAAGGCATTAAGCCAACCCTGATTCTTCCTTGCAGATCATACGTGAAACAGGAAGCAGCCCTTGAAATGTTAATTTTCAAATAGCCCTTTGAGACAATCATATTTCTGACCATCTTTTTCTTATTCCACTACTAAGCTGGTTTTAACAAAAACTAGATAACAACTGATCATATACTTTATCATACCTCAAAAATCAATCAAGTTTTCAAGTTTAAAAAAAAATCACCAATCAGCCACAGGACATGAAGGAAAATGACCAATACTCACAGCATCAGTTTGTGAAGATTCATCCTCTGGTTTGGTTTTTATGTCAACAATTCCATCCACGTGGTGAAAAGTACAATCAGCAAGTGCATTGTAAAGTGTGAGCTTCTGAGCCTTCAAGCCATACTTCTGCAGCCACTTCTCAGAAGACAAGTATTTGTCAGATGTGTGCTTTTGCAATGGATGATCAGCACTGGTTGCTAATAAAGAAAATAAACAACACTTCCTGTATAACATCATTCATTCTGGATAAAGTGTTTTCAAAAACAGGCCAGGATGCTGTGGTCAAGATTTCCAAATGCGTTCTGTACCACTGACAGCTTTGGCATGAGAGGATACTTCTGAATGATTTTTTTATTATTCTCTGCTTTGGTTGTGAGATTGTTGGTTTTTTCATAACATGCACTTCACAACAAATTCCTTTACCAGTGGAACAAAACCATGAGAAGATAGAGAGCAAAGAAGAGAAATACCTACAGGATCAACATATAAAGGGAACAATCTTAGCAGGAGGAATGTTGACTTAAACCTTCATACTGGCTGAATTACAAAATGCCAGGAAACATTCCTGTGTAAGGGTGTTTGGTTTTGGCCCAACATGACAACAAAAGAATAGCCCCATGGCCACTCACTCAACTCTCCACACACACACACACTGGGATGAGGAGCTCAAAGTTCATGGGTCGAGACAAAGGACAAGGAGGGATCTTCACTGATTAAGGGCCCGGGCAAAACAGACTCAGCTTGGGGAAAATAATAATGTAATTCCACACTAATCACACCCCCCAGGACACAGACACCCCCAGAGCAGGGCTTGCAGATGTTACCCCACCCCTCCCTTCTTCCCGGGCCCCAATCCCTTGGTTCCCGGTTTCTCTCCCTCCTTCCCCCCAGCGGCACAGGGGGACAGGGGATGGGGTTTAGAGTCACTTCACAGCCTGGGGGTTCCTGCTGCTCCTGCCTCCTCAGCAAGAAGGATTCCTGACAGTCCTGCCCTGCTTCCCCACGGGGTCCCTCCCATGGCACAGAGGCCTCCACCAACCTCTCCTTCCTGAGTCCTTCCCACCAGGTCCGGAGCTGCTCCAGCCTGGGCTTCCCACAGAGTCACGGGGGCTTCGGGAACAGCCACCTCCCCTGGCCCGGGGGCTTCCACAGCTGAGCAATCAGAGCCCACTGGCAGCAAATCCTCTGGCCACAACATCCAAGTCCAGGGGCCAAGTTCCCCCCTCCTGGCGCCTTCAGGGAATGTCCCACCACGTTCCTCCATGAGTGCAGGGGCACAGCTGCCATCTCGCCATGGGCTGCAGGGAAACTGCTGCTGGGGCACCTTCTGCCCCTTCCTCCTCACCAACCACCAGCACCTCTGCCCCTCCAGCTCAGCTCTTCTTTATCTACAGACTGCTCACTCTGCTCAGGTGTTATCTCAGCTCTTCCGTATGTTACTGGCAGAGGTGCATCTCTTGTCCCTCTAATGGGTCCTTGGCTGGGTTTGGAGCAGGGGCAGCTTCTCAGCTTCTTATGGGAGCCACCGCTGGGGCCCTTCCCCCACTACCAAAAATCTCACCAAACCAAACCAGAACACAGGAGAATCATTTCAGAAATTGAAAAAACAGAAGATAAAACTGAAAGCACAGTTGATTACATTGGCTCACATTGCTGTTGGTCTTTTTCAGAGAAGGCCATTTAAAGTTAAAAAGCAAACTACAATGTCTTTGGAAGAGATTTTACTGCAATATTGCCTTTTTATAGGCTGACTACTGCACAATGTATCCAAAATTGCAAATCATTTGTGTACCATCTTGACATTTTCTCTAGTTCTATAAGAAGAGCTTTTAGCATTTTTAATGGATACTGAAAGAAATTGGGTATTTTTTGTCTGATCTGGTAAAACTGTTCTCATGTTTACCCTCTTATGTCAGATTGTCTTAGAAATTTTCTAAGGATCATCTTAAGGTTGGGCACTGCTCATCTCTGGATACTGGTAATAGAAAATTTGTCTCTTTTTTTGGCTCTTCTCCTGAAGAACCTTCTAAAGAGATAAGGAAGGCAAAAAAAAGAAAAAAAAAAAAAAAAAAAAAAAAGGCAGTCAAAAAGAAATACTTCAGTTACTTGGATCAATGGGCAATGGTCAAATAAGAACAACTGACAAAATTAATCACATTGTAATTTCATTTCTTTTTGTATCTTTGTTAGGTGACTATGTATGAAGTGACTTTGTATGAAGACAAACACTAAAAAAACACCAAAGCTGCACAGTCAGAAGCACATAAATAAACACTGAAATCAGGGCTGTGCTTGCAGCTTTACTGTCATCTTTTTGGTCATATGCATTATTGTTAAACTTCATACAGAAAGTCCTGCTAATTTAGAAGATGCTATTATCAGTATTAAAACTGCATTACGCCTTCACAGAAGGATAAACTCAAGCTTAAGTCGTGCAGACACATATTATTGACAGATATTCAAACCCAGTGCAGGCAGAAAAAGTTCCCAGCTTCCAATCTTCACCACCAGCCTACAACACACTGCTGAGACTTCAGGGGACTGACCAACTCACTGTACCAAGTGTTCCTCAGCAGATGATCCAGAAAAGGGCATCTGGCCCCAGCCTCCATCCAGACAAAGCAAAAGCAGCTGCACTGCAAAACCAATACCGGAGCTACACAAATTCCCTGGTTACTTGTGCTAACTCAACCTGAACCTTACATAAACTTATGCAAAAAATACCAGACACCATGTAAGTATTTTAAACCCAGTGACTAACGCAGAATACAGGCACCAACCATCCCAGCTATGATCCTGAAAGTCCACCCTCTCAGTAGCAGTCCACAGTGCCAGTGGATCATTCTGCTCCAAACCATGCCCAGAGCATCTTAGCAGGGCTGAGTAGCTTCTCACCTTCCCGTGTTTACGTCTTCAGATTTGGAAACCAGCTATGCTTCTGTCTTCAGGATGGCTCAGTCCAATCAATATGTACAGAACAACAAAATTATCATGTTCTTGGCCCAACATAATAGTGCGAATTATTAGTCTAATGAACAAATGTGGGTGTTCCTCCGTGTTTCTTAACACAACAGACGTCAGAGCACTCATTCACAATTGGTTTCAGTCCTCCATCTTAAACTAAGATAATTCAGACCCACACTTCTTCCCTCCTAGGAGAATGAACAAGCTACCAGGTTGGAGGCTATCCCAAGAAGCCTGTGATGGGAAAGAGGTACTTCCCCAGCTCCATGTAGAATAAAGCTAAAGATTTACTGGCCCGGGCAGAAGAGACAACAAAAAATGTGTTCCAGTATCTTGAAATCCAGGCAATTTCTAAACACAGTCAATGGTGAACTAAAAATGTGTGCTTCAGTGTGAGCTGTTGAAGTCCAGAAAGTTTTAGCAGTAGTAGACAGAGGTTTGTAGTGGAAAGTTTTAAGCAACCCCAAGATTAGATGTCAAGTTTAGGTGCTACTTGTATAATGACATTTCTGAGATAATAATCCCCAAACTGACACATAATCAAAACTGTTCACAGATATTGGTCCTAAATATAATAGTAACTTTCTTGAGAGAAAAATTAATTATACCATCTTGAGAAGCAGGCTTGTCAGATTCTGATAAAATCTTCTGAACTTGTGTGACTGTACTCTTGGCTTCCTCCAACTCCTTCCAGACCAGAAAGACGTCTTCACGGACACCAGCTACTGCAAAAGAAATCATAAAAAGACATTTACTTTTGGAGATAATTTCTGCTTTTATAACTCCCCAGTTGCCACCAAATCATTGGGTTCATCCAGATGTCACCATATAGCCTTGTTCTCTTGAGGTCCCACTGCAGTAACAAGTGCTGTTCTTTGACAGACTTCAAAAAAGGGCTCAAAGCTGGCACCAGGAATGAGAGGTGCTTAGCCTGGTGAAAATAACCTCCAGAGTTGGCCACAGATTATTCCCACAATGGAAGTAAATCCTTTTTAACACTCTTGGATAATGATAAGGAAATTCCACAAAGATAATTCACATGTTGTCCCCTGATATACTGCAAAAGCTGGCTCCAAATACTAACCCCACCTTTAAAACTTTAAAGAGAAGATATTTTCAACTCTTTCAATTCCATTAAAGTTCATCAATACCTTTATTTAAAAAGAAATCTTTTCCTGGAACATATGTGATAAATTTTTGCTGAGGTAAGTTTATTTTCATCCCAACAATTTTCAACAGTCATAAATAAATGCTAAAAAAAAATTGTAACGTTTTACTATCAGAAAAAAGAAAAAATGCAAAGCTGGAGTTGATACAAAGTTTTCTTAATCTTAATAGATGTTTGACTTGACTTTTTTTAAAAATAAACCATCTGTATTTAGTAGAGTGTAACTGTTAAAACCAAGGCATCATGGATACCTAAGCAGTACGAACACGACTAAGAAATGTGTTAAATTAAGTTAGTCTCAGAGTTTATATTGCAATATAGGACAGCACAGAAAAACTGTGTGTAGTCTTACAATAAAAACATAAAAGAAACTGCATCATGAGCTATCCTAACCATAAATGCAGACTACAGCCTACTGCAGATTAGAACTTATTACTGAATTGCACATAAAGATGCAGAACAAGGAAAACTGTATCTTATCTAGTGGTTCAGTTAATTTACAGCACTGATTCACTGTATAAAAGATAAGACATGCAAACTTGTCTACTAAAGTAGGCAATCAGTAGAAAAACAAACCAAATCATTTTGTTCCTTTATAAACTTCTCTGAAATAATAATATTAATGTTTTACCAAATAACAACTCAATTTTAATTGTGAAATGCTTTCCGTTTCCAAGAAATATTTTGAAATGTATAATTGTACACTGCCATCTCCTGGGACCTTCCTGCATTTCAAAAACATCTGTTTCAGCCATTAGGACAAAGATCAACATCCCCTACATCACAGAAAAGCTTTAGTAGAGCAGATCGTTCTGCAACATAAAACAGATAAGGAGAAAAAACCTCAGTCTGTTATCATGACCTTTTAAGTTTAAGAAAAGCATATGGTTCAAGTACTTCAGAAAAAAGTCAGCTTTTCTTTTATAAACAACCCCTCCCCAGAAATGCAAAACATACAAAATCTGAGAATGGGCAAAACTCCAGCAAGTAGAGAGCTACTGATGTGTAGTCACCCGTTGCATACATCCATATACACCTGTTGTCACAGTTAAACCCACAAAACATGTGCATTCACACCACACAGGCACACATTAACAAGTTGAAGACTGTTGAGAATCCAATTCCAGCTGAGCTGTCCCCAGCTAAATCTGGGTATTGTCTGTAAGCTATTAAATGCTGGCATCCAGATTTAATTTTGACTGGTTTTAATGCTGTGCTTGAAAATATCAAGAGACGTGTGCATATTCCAACTGCCTTTGGAACAATACTGATGATATCTCTGCTTCATTTCCCCTTAAACTCATGTCACGGAATCATCAAATGTACAGGATCATTGTTACTGCTCCCACTTAGATATGCTCATTGGTGTTACACAAGAAGGTATTTTGTCCCTTATTTTTGTTGCAGCATAGCAAAGTAAAACTGCACACATTTTCAAAGCAAGTATGTTTGGTGACTGACACCGCAGGCATCAACAACCGCACATTGTGGAGTTCAAGATGCTCAGAAAACCTTTCATCTGGCCATAATATTTTCCTGGATTCAACTGGGAGAGCAGGTTGCAAGCACTGACAACCGAAGCAACTTTAAGGATCTACATGGGAAGTTCACCTCCGCCTACCCCTCTTTTCTTCTCCAGCTAAGGAGGAGCGGGCAGGAAAATCTGTGCCTGTCAAGCTGAGCCCTCAAACTCAAGAGATACGCACAGACACAAAACACAGATCTCTCCCACAAGCCTTCCTCGACCTGCAGCCCTGTCCCCAGTGAAAACCGACCCTGCAACCACAAACCTCTCTTTGGCTGACGCTCCCCGTGCTTGCAGCCCAAAGCCACCCCCCAGGGGTGCTGTCCCCAGCCGCTGCAGGCCCACGGACCCTGGCAGGCCATCAGACACCTGCCGCCCAGGAAACACTCGCTCTGAAAAACACCATTTGCTGCCTCCCCCGAGAGAAAAGGCCGCTGGGCCGCCCTGCCCTGCTGCTCTGGCCGGCGGTTTAACGGCCGCCTGGGCCCCGG